ATTAGGCCCACGTGCTTGAGGGTGGCGCTCCACTCAGGTTTCCCTTCATGGCAAGGGGAGAGAGCCATCCTGGTTGGTGTGGTTTGGTTACCTGCCCATCCTGTTGGGGAAAAAAGGGAGGGAGGAACCCAGTGACTCATAGCCCACCAGAACCACAGAGAAGGCAGTGGAGGAAGTCCCCCCAAAAGAACAGGAAGTTGTGGCTAGGCAGGCAAAATCAGGAGATACTTACTGTGTTCATTAGGGTTAGTGCAAACGACAGAAACCTAAAGCGACAATGGCTTCAACAAGATCAGTTTATTTTTCTCGTGTGTAAACATCTGGAGGTAAGTAATCCAGACCAGTACGTTCACATGCGTGAAGTCTCAGGGCCCAGCTCCTTGCTCAGGGACCAAGGTGGAGCTCAAGCACATCTCAGTTCCAGGCTCAGCATGGAGAAACAGACCAAAGGATGCTGAGGGCGCGTGCCCAGGAGGCTTTTCAGGACGATTCTGGGAAGAGCCACAGTTCTCGCATTCCATTGGCCAGGACTTAGTCACATGACCATAAAGCTGCAGTGTGGGTTGGGAAATACAGGCCCTGCTGAAAATTCTATTACCCCTAAAAGAAGAGGGGACCCAGGGGACCCTGATCAGGACCTGCCACACCCACCACAAGCCATCTGGCTGCCTGGTACTCACACGCTCACATTTCCACACATTTAATATTTTTATTTAATTAAATCAATCAATTTTAAAATTATTTATTTATTTATTGTTTTTGAGAAGGCAAGGGAGAAAGAGATGAAGAGAAACATCAGTGTGTGGTTGCATCTCATGCGCCCCCTACTGGGGATCTGGCCTGCAACCCAGGCCTGTGCCCTGACTGGGAATCGAATCGGTGACCCTTTGGTTCACAGGCCGGTGCTCAATCCACTGAGCCACACCGCCTAGGGCCAATTATTTTTATTTTGAGAGTATGTTTATTAAAGCCGAGGACAGTGAAACAAGGAAGGGCTTAGGACAGAAGAAGCAACAGGAAGAAGCCTCGGTGGGGCTGCTTTGGCTCTAGAAACGTTGTAGCAAAGAAGTGAGTCTGGGCAGTGCTGCCTTGGCTCCCTGGAAAGTCAGAGGAGAGGGGGCCTTGGAGACAGACAGGTTCAGAGGGCCAGCCCAGGATGAGCTGCCACTGCCCACTGCTCCCTTGGCTGCAAGTCTGTGGGGTCCCTTAGAGTTGAGGAGATGCATCCCTGTGGGGGAGAAGAGGGAGAAGGGAAAGGCACAGTTGCAGTCCTGGGGAGAGAGAGCTTGCCTTTGATATTTTTAAATGTTCTCACCCGTCATGATGTAACCATGGCAATCTCACATTCAACCAAGAACACACGCACCCGTCCGCAGGAGAGAAACACAGAGTCAGGTCCAGGTGCCTCCATGGCTCCAAGTCCAGGACCTCTTCCTTCAGTCCCATCTCAAAGTTTGCCGCCTGTGGTCCAAACAGAAGTTTAACTGGCACCAACTCCTCTTAAACACTGTATAATAATGAGGAAAAGGAGAAGAAAAACGACCTAAAAGATTTTAAATAACAATAAGGCGATATAGCAAGCAAGGAAATGCAGGTGGACACCAGCTACACCCCCGTTTCCTCAGTCACAAGCCTGTGGCCGCCATTCCTCGCTTCCCCCTTTCACTACCCTCTCCAACGTCCCCTGGCCTCTGGCCAGCACCAAAATTAGTTTCTTTGCTCAAAACCTCATTGCTAAAAGGTCTGAGCCCTCGATAGTCCTGCCCAGGTAGGGATTCTGGTATCATCTTAAACCTTTATCTATTACCAGGTAATAAATGACTCCTAAGTGTAAAGGTATGCAAAACAACAATCAATAGCAAAGGGTCATGTGGAATGACCAATTTCCAAGCCCCTTTTTCAAAGTTGACTTTTTTTAAAATTAAGTCCAGGCATTGGATTTGATGGATAAATGTTTCAAATCTCTTTCAATTTATCAGTTCCTGTTCACTCTCTTTAAGTTGTTTTTTGGTTTGTTTCTGTGTGTGTGTGTGTGTGTGTGTGTGTGTGTGTGTGTGTGTGTGTGTCACAGTCTTGATTTTGCTATAGCTGCATCACTGTGGATGTTCAATATGTTCCTCTGGTAATTGGATCTAGAGGCTTGATAGATTCAGGTTCGATTTTTTTCCCCAATTATATTTCATCGGGAGTTACACGCCTAGTTGTTTCTTTTTGTGTTGTTAGCAGTCATCAGCGATCACTGCTTAGATTCACTAATGCACTAAGGGCTGCCTGTGGTCCATAGTTAAATAGGATTCATTAGAATGATAATTAATGGATCCACTGTACTTGCATTCTAAGGACTCAGGGCTCCGAGTAGGAAAATAGTGACCACGTCCTGGGTGTCCTCTGCCCACCTAGGACTGTGCTGGATGCTGGACACACTTGTGCTTGTTTATTTCTCACAAAAACTCTGTAGGCTGGGGTCCTTATCCTTGTTTTAAAGAACCATGTCACAGGCACTGAGAAGTTGCTGAACCTGGAAACTGACTTCCTAGTGTTTTTCTTACCAGGTTAACCTGAAAGGAAAAAATATTTTATCTACCTACCTACCTACCTACCGATCTACTTCTTTATTTTGCTGCTCTGATGGCAGGAGGGATGATTGCAGGCGAATCACCTGGATCCTGTTGATCAAGGGTTAATAACTTGTCCCACTTGCCTCAGCCTCTCTTCTCCCTGCTCTCCTAGTCCTTTGTGTCACTATGAAAATACTTTACACACCGACTTATAATTAGTTCTGTCTGTTAGTTCCTCAAATTATCATTAACAGAATGTCTTCCCAGAATGCCAGGAAATTGAGGCTGAGTTAAATGTTAAGTCAGGAGGCTAGACTGATTCACCAGCCTACTTTATAGTGTGGAACTAGTTCACCTCGAGAGGTATGAAGCCTCAAATCTTGTTACCGTCTCTGTGTTCTCTTTGACCTCTCCTTCTGTCTAATTACAACAGGCTTCTTACCTTGCTCAGTTTAGTTTTGTGGTAATTTTGTGAGCCGTTGTTTATGGCACTTACATGGCTTGTTGAAAATGCCTCGTGGGCCTCAATAGCATTTAGAGACAAAGAAACGAGCAGGCGGGGAAGACACACAACACATATGTATCTCACATCACCACAGCTTCTGGTCTTCCCACATAATTCTAACAAATAGGACTGCCAGTTCTCCACCACTGAAAGTCTTTACAGCCTTACAGCCTTCAAGGGTAAATTTAGCTGATCTCCAAACCTGTTTACGCAGGGTTAGATGGACTTGGGCAAACTTTACCTCAAAGACTCTAGGCTTTAAAGTGTTTCAATTAGTTTCCTAAACATTTATAAAGAAATGTTCATTTTGCTTTATGGAAAGGGGAGCTTGAAAAAACAGTAAATAATTCAGCAGTATGTGCTCTGCAGTCCTCAAAGACAGCCCTGTGCACTGAAAGGCAAAAGTAGCTCCCAAGAAAAGGGATGTGAGCTTCTCAGCATCAACCATGCATGTGGCAAAACACAATGCTGAAAAACAAGGGAAACTAAAGGTTTGTGCAAATACTTTGAAAAATATTACTTCAATAATAATGATAATACTAATAATAAACAAGTGCAAGGCTAAAAACTCTGAAATATTTATTTAAAATGGTTTTGGCCCAAAACACAATGGATAGTAAATAAATAAATTGAGCATCAAAGAGAACAGTTGTTTTATACAGTAGACATTTAAAGAAAAACGATAGTCCTAAATAATTTTCACAATGACAGTACTAGAAATGTCCTCTGTGATTTGTCATCTTTGGATTATAGAGCAGTAAAACGAAGATATCTAAAAAAAAGATTTTGAATTCATTTTAGGGTAGAGAATTTTAAAACGACTTTTAAAAATTATTATTGCAAATCTTCTGTGGCAAAGGATTTTTACATTTAAATCCATTTTCACACTATTGTTTTCTTAAAGGACTTAAGATTTGCTTTTCATTTCATCAGTAAAACCCTTTTGTCCCACCTGTACCAAATTCTAAGACTTCCTTATTGGTGGGCAGAAGTATTCACATGATATACTTTGTCTGAACCTCCAAGAAAGATACCTACCTCCCCACCACCCAAACCTTCGGTAGAAACCTACATGCTTCAGTAGGAACGTAAAAACCTCCCAAAAGACCCAGAACACAAGACGTTTTGGAAGTTTCAATATTTTTACTTTTCATAACAGAGGCTTTCATTAATATCATAATTATTAAAAGAGTAAACTTTATATAAGACGACACTGAACAAGAATGGCTCGAACCACGAGCAATCTGGGGGGATGAATGTTGTGTCCGTTGTTCCCAAGAAATCTCTCTTTGTTTGATGTTTATAATTGTGGTAAGACATATATAACATAAAATTTACTATTGTAATAATTGTTTAAGTCTACGCGCATTAAGTGAATTTCCAGAGCTGTGTGCCTCAGCAATTCCAATTCACCGTTTCTCGCCTCCATCCGTTTTTATTCTTTTTGACCATTAGGGGGCAGCCGTAGACAGCACATCAGCCGTCCTCCCAAGCCACCGCGCACGCATGCGCGTCTCACCTGCGGGAAGGTGCCCGGGGGGCGGGCCGGGGCGCGGCCTAGGGGCGGGGCCAGGGCACGCAGGCGCGGCGCGGCGCGGGCATTGTGACGTCAGGCCGGGTGGCCGGACCGGGAGCGGGCGGTGTCTCTCGGAGGTGCTTCCCACCGCGTGACGCGCGGACTCCCCTCCCCGCGGCCCGCCCGCCCGCTGGCCTCGCCGCCGCCTCCTTCGCTCCCTCAGCGCGCCGAGCGCGGGCCAGCGGCCGGGGCGGAGGCCCAGGGGCGACGCGGGGCCTATAAGAGAGCGGGCGGGCGGGCTTCAGAGCGCCGGGCGGCTCGAGTCCGCGGCCGGTCGGTGCGCGGCGGGCGGGCGGCGGGCGCGGGTCTATATGGCGGCGGCTCTGTCGGGCCTGGCTGTCCGGCTCTCGCGCTCGGCCGCCGCCCGCTCCTATGGGGTCTTCTGCAAGGGGCTGACCCGCACGCTGCTCATCTTCTTTGACCTGGCCTGGCGGCTGCGTATCAACTTCCCGTACCTGTATATCGTGGCTTCCATGATGCTCAACGTCCGCCTGCAGGTGGGTGAGCCGCGCCCTCCCGGTCCCTCTCCCCACAGGCTCCCCGAACGCAGGTCCGCCCAGCGCGGCCCGGCCCACCTCGCCCAGGGCGCTGAAGATGCTGTCACGAGCCGCGAAGCTGGATGCTGGGTGTTTGCCCAGCCTCGTGCGTTGGGAGCCCCACGGGAGGAAAACCCGCCGAGGTTATTGTTATCTTCGTTCTGCAAACAAGGCCGGGGTGGGGAGCTGGCCGTGGCTCTCCTGGGCTGAGGGCCTGCTGCTGGGCGCGGGTCCGCCGAGGGGCGGGTGGGTGCTGTTGGCACGGGCAGCAAAGGCCCTGGCCCCGAAGGGGAAACGTTGCCCGGAAAATTGCAAATTGGGCCTCGGGGCGTGGTGGCTTTATGGTTGGCTTTTCTAGTTCCCAGACGTTACGAAGCGTCGAAAGATAGTGTTTTTGAAATTTAAAATGGATTAATGAATTAACTAATGCTCTGATAGATGACTTATTTATTCTGGCCGCAGTGGAGGTGCGCTGGGAGGGAAAAGGAGGTGGAATAGGTAGGGACAGACGCAGAAGGTTCAGAGGCTAGAAACAAGTCAGCTGTGAAGTTGTGGACACACACACACACACACCAGCTCCCTGGAGATCACCTTTGTTATAAATGGCTGACATTTCTATATCCTTTGAATTAGAAACGCTTTTTTCTAGTGGAATGGGAAGTTGTCAGATTGAGAATTACTCTTTTCAAGTGAGTCATTCAGGACCAAGTGCAGCCTGCTCTTGGATTCTGTTTACCTCTCCTGGAGTGGCCGCTGGGGCTGGGCACAGGCCCTGTGATGGACGGGGGACAGGCCCCAGTCCCCTGGATTTCGCAGTCTGACAGTACGCGCATGGCTCCCTGGTGAGCAGAATGAGGAAGCCCGAGCAGTAGGACCAGGCCGTGGTGAGAACAAGCCAGTGTCGTCCTTTTATTTCCCCCTTCTGGTTTGCTTGTATCAGAATGGCACTGTCCCTGTGCCTGGACCTTCAGGTTTTGGGTGCCTGTCATAGTGATGGTAGGCCACATAAAACTTGAAACCGGCTGTTGATTAAAATTGTGTTCAGGTGAAATGGGATGAACCTACCTATCCATTTCAAGGTCCAAATCGAGATATTTCTATGTGAGCAAGGGCTTGTGGCGTCCGTAGGTGGTCGCAGACTAGAAGAGGGGAAGACGCGCATATCTTGCCAGCAGGTGGTATGAATGGGTCAAGGGTGCTGGATGTGGGCAGTGGGGAAAAACAGGGCCTGTGCTCCAGCCAGTTGTCACTAGCCAGCTGTTGTTTGCTACATCAAGCCATTTCCAAGGGAAATTGGAAATCCTGCTTTTTAGATACCAAATTAATGAATTAAAGGAAAGCCTTTGTGGGCAGAACAAAATGTGTCTGCAGGCTATATCTAGCCCCCAAGCTCGCACTTTGGAAACTCTCGTTCTAGAGTTACATTAATAATTTGCAGCTACTTACAAAATTGCATGAATGATTGTAAAAGAAAACTTAGTCCATAACGTTGAATATTAGTTTTGTACCATTTAAAAAAGTCACCTTTCTCATATGTCCACTTATGCAATACTTTTGTTACCCCCCCGCCCGCTGCCGTCCAGGCCACCATACTCACCCACTGGACGATTGTAGTAGCCTCCCGTCTGTTTCCACCAGGCAGAAGATCATGTCATTCTTCACATGCAAACAAAACGGAACTTCCTTTTGTACACAGAATGCAGTTTACCTGTTTTACGCTGCAGCTCTGACTGTTCATTTTTTTAGACTCTCGTGCATCTTGTTTCTTGTGCACTATTCTTTCTTTCTCACAGTTTCCTGTCTGCTGTCTGCATGCGCCAGGCCCCTTCCTGCCACCGGGCACTTGCACATGTGGGTTTTCGCACCTTGAGCGCTCTGCGCTGGTCTTTGAGGGCTGGTACCTTCTCCCACATCAGCTCGCGTCTCAGGAGCTTTGTGATCACCATATCAATGTGACTTTGCACCTGCTCTCTTCATTGCCAGAAGAGTCAAGGCTTGTTTGTTTCATGTGCAATAAGGAATAGAGGATTCCAAATCTCTCACTGTTCTAGGGCATTGAGATAATCTCTGCAAAGGTTATTCAAATACAAATTTCATAACTAGGAACCTATGCTGCGATGCTTGAGGCTAAGTGCATTTTGAAGAGGAGGAAATTGACTCTACGATAGCGGTGCGGGCAGTCAGGAGAGCTCGGTGCACCTGTCCCAGCAGCCCAGGAGAGATGATCTAATAGACTTGGTGCCATGTAATTGTCCAGGTGCAGCACAGCTTTAGTGATTCATGGAGCTGAAATGCTCTGGGAGTCAAACGTGGGCCTTCGTAGTCTGGTCAGGGGTGAGTGGGAGAGGGGCGCAGGCAAAGTGGTCACCAGGGACCTCGGGAAGAGCTGTCAGAACTGCATGGGGATTTTAGGTTCGCCCTTGGGTTTGATGAAGCGCAGCAGCTGCCATTCACATGCTGAGGGGTACGGGGTGGGAGAGGGCTGTCACTTGTTTACTGCGGATATTTACACCTGCTGCTGTAAGGTCCCCTGCAGGTTTAGAGTTTCTGTTCATTTGTGGAAATCACTAACACACCTGATTTGAGGGTGTAATAATTCTGACTTCTGGTAAAGGGAAGTGCAACAGAGGAGAGAACCTGCTCAAAGGCCCCGTCTCACCGTCTTCCTTTTAGTCAGAACTCTCCGTCCCCGTCCTTTCCACGGCAGGAGTGCCGCGATGAAGGACCCTGTTTCCCGCACGTTTACTTAGAACCCCCAAGTCACTTGTAGGGCAGCAGGACATTTTAAGGAGGTTGGTATCTAGTGTGAAAGATGATTAAATGAGAAGAGGGTTTTGTAAACTGAGAAGGGCTATGATTTGGAGGCACTGTTCGTGAGCTTGCCTTAGTCTAGAGCTGTTAGCATCCTACTTATTCATATAGAATCTGAAATACATGGTGATAAAAAATGGGCATCCGTACCAACCACTAGATGTAGTCAAAGCAAGGTTGAAAATTGCACTGAGAATCTCCTGTGATTTAACAAGCCCTGCCTACACCTTCTCGGTTATGTGGCCTGTGGGAAGAATCAAGTGTCCTAGCCTCAGCTCACCCAGATTTGTATAACTACTCAAAGAGAAGGACTAAAAAGAACAGCTGGAGAAAAGAAGACATTGTGCAGGTTGATGATAATTGTCAGGTGTCCTTGTCTTCCTATGACATCACCGCCAGCCCCACTGCCCTGCGCTGCCCCGGCCCGAGAACGAGAACCTTGCGGTGGCGCCTCCCTCCCCTCGTTTCCAGCTGCTCTTCCCTAGTCTTTTTCTGAATGACTTTTGAAATCCATCGCTCCACATGGGTCGGTTCACCTATCGCCTGGAAACTGTGTTTATTCATTGCCATCAGGTAGACTTCAGGGAGGCATGTAGGGATGGGGAAGCTGGTTGCCCGCTAATACAGCAGTCAGAGGGGGGCATAGGTGGCCTCTGAAACGAAAAAGGAGGTGAAGGCTTTAGCCTTAGAGATGCCTGGGTGAGAAGAGTATTTCACTTTGCACAGAGAAGACCCTGTGGGTGAGCTGTGCTATCCTTGACTCAAGTTTTTAGTCTTGAAAGTGCAAGCAGATATTAAAATGTATGAGTTAGAGCTACATGTACTCAGGTTAAAAGATATCCGCCAAATGTAAAGAAACTAAGTTTAAAAAAAAACCACCTATGTTAGCATTGTCTCATTTAAAAAAAAAATCCTAAGCATGCTTGTCAGTACCTGGGGGTGGGGGGGAGCCTTCCAGGACCGGGGAGCCGCCCTAACTCAAGAGGAGCCAGGGTATGGCTTCTCACGTGCTCTGTGGAGAAGAACCAGTGCTGCTTCACCTCCATAGACCCGGGTAACATAAGCAAACACTTGTTTCTCACAGTTCAGGAGACTGAGAAGTCCGAGGCACCAGCATGGTCATGGCCTCCTGCGGACCCTCCTTGTTCCGGCCGGCACCTTCTCACTGCGTCTGCAGGTTGTGGAAGGGACTAGGTGTTCTGGGGCGGGGTCTCTTTTATAGGGAGCACTAATCCCGTTCTTGAGGGCTCCACTCTCATGACCTAAGCACCTGCAGAAGCCTTAACACCTAATGCCACCGTCTTTGATGGTTCACCCTATGGCTGTGGAGGGATGCAGACATTTAGGCCAAGCGCCACCTGACAGCTAAAAAGGAATTGCTTTCACGTGCAAAAGAGTGACAGCAGGCCTAAGCTTACAGCACGCACAGGAATCAACTCAAAGTGGATCGGGGACTTAACCTTGAGAATCAAAACTGTAAAAATCTTAGAGAAGAAAATGGGAAAATCATGGTATTGAATTTGGCAATGATATCTTGCCAAAAGCACAGGCAACAAAAAAAAGTAGGTAATTTAGACTTGATCAAAATTTTAAAAATTTGGGTGTCAAAGGACAGTATCAAGAGAGTGAAAAAGGCGACTTCACAGAATGGGAGAAGGTATTCGCAAATCATTTATCTGATAAGGAGTAATATCTAGGAATATAAGGACTCTTACAACTCCTACAATAATAAACACAGCTTAATCCAAAAATTAGCAAAGGACTTGAAAAGACATTTCTCCAGAGAAGATATAATACAGATGACCAGCAAACCCATGAAAACATGGCCACTCCCACATCGTCCAGTGATTGCTTCTCTGTCCTCTGCTTGACAGAACCCTTTAGCAGCCTCTGGTTACTTGTTCCTTAAAACATCTTGATGATGATGATGACGACGGTGATAGTGGCCATTGATTGGATACCCATGGGACGCTGGTCAGAAGAGATGCTAGCTGCTGTGAGACGTTGCGCCCTCAGCATCGTGAGGAGCGGGGATTGCCTGAGGTCCCCAGCTGGGACATGGCTCCCCCCGCCCTCCACGTGTGAGCAAATGCGCCTTTGGCACCCAGGTGATGGAAGCAGGTGGCTAATGAGAGCTGCCTGGCTGGCCCTTTAAGGGCAGGTGTATGGGAACCTGCTGAATGATCAGCGGGAGAACTCAGTACCGTGGGTCTTGCGTGCGGCTGTGACTCAGCTTCCAGGAGAGGGCACCGAGTCCTTCCTGCTTCTCCCCTGTGCTGGGCTGCAGTCTGAGGAATTAGTTTCAGCCACTTCCTCGGACCGGTCATTTGAGTCATGAGCACAAGGGTGTCAAGGTGCGTAGTGTTGACATCTGAAAACTGGAGGAGGCCCAGGTGTCCTGCGGTGTGTTCGGGAGCCACGCTAAGGCAGACCCCACCCCAGACCCCTTGTCATCGACCTGGCCGAGCAGCCCCTGCTCGTGTGAGCGTGTCTCCTCCCGGGGCCCTTTGGGAGCAGCCTTGCTGGCTGCCTGTCGGCATCGCGGCCAGGATATTTTTAGTTTACGGAGCAGTGGTATCCAGACCAGCAGGTCCCTGAGGCCAGTAATAGCTCAGGTCAGGGAAGGTAAGGTGACAGCAGTGCAGGAGGGTGGCAGCCGCCGAACTGGGTCAGGCCTGTTGTCACGCAGCTGCCTCTGGCAGGCAGGGGTTTTTGTGGAAGGTGACTTCTCATATCTCACTGGACACACCCAGTCTTGCTTTCTGTGCACATCACCCCCTCTGGCCTCTCTGCTTTAGTGGAACCTTTGCTATATTTTGGGGGGTGGGGGGTGGTGAGGGAACTAGTTCAGGAATCTGCGCCCAGTCCTGCACTGTGTTTTTCCTGAATCATACTGTCTTGAACTTCAAAATAGACCCCTTCATTCATTCTAGTGGCCGCAGTTTGGTGGATGAGATTGTGTGCCATAACTTTACGTGCCTGTTCTGTGGGCTTCACATGGGAGTGGAGTGGGCGATGATGACCTAGTCGGGGCCGAGGACAGTTTATTATATAGCTGCGCACACTTTACTTGGTACAGCATCACGTTCCAATGTATGTGTAATGTAGTGACATGTTTGGAAGTTGCAGGAAAGTTCTCTCTGGCTCTCAAGCGCTGAGCAAGTGTGTGTCACAGGCTGTCGCCAGAAGGGCTGGCTGGTGAGGGCTCAGGGCCACTGTTCTTACTGCCCAGAAGTTCTTTGTGAACAGAATAGAACAGACAATCTTTAGCAAAAAACTTTAGTCTATTATTACTAAATACGTGATTACTTTATTGATTCCAGTAACGTTGCCTTATTTAAAATGTTTTAACACAATTCTGGACTATTTTCATCTTTCTGAATAGTGCTCGTCCTTGTACAAGGACTTAATAAAAGTAATTACAAGCTAATTTTCCTGAGAGTTGGCCCATATTAAATGGCCTGTTTTTCTTAAGATTTTTTAAAAACCTATATTAATATGTATTAAAAGTGTATTTGGGAATGGTTCCATTTTAGAAAAATGTTCATTCTTAGTACATTTCAAATTAGTAAAATAAATGTTAGGTTTAAAATGATATGGTTTGGGAAGTTAATTTGAGAGAGAGAGACTGTCAAGAGAAGTTAATTGTATTCAATTTAGTAAATTTTGAAAGTATTGTTTTGAATTGTAGCAGAATCCACACTTATAAGAACTGCACCTCTTAAAAGTTCTTATCACAAGAAAAAATATTATAACAATGTGTGGTGTGTATGTTGAGTTGATCATTTTGCAATACATAGATATTGAACGTTGTATACTTAAAACTAATATAATGTTATGTCATTTATATCTCAATTAAAAAGATTGCACCCTATGTTTGTATATTGCTTTATACTGCTCAAATATATTTTTCAGTTGTTAGATAAGAGTAATGGTCACACTGCTAGCAAAATTTTGAGCACACCTGATAGATGTATATGTATATATGTAGGTATATATGTGTACATGTATATGTATATAATACATATATACTTACCAGCAAATGTTTTGAGCACACCTCACCTATATATGTATATATGCACACATGTATACACGCATCTACATACACGTGTATATACACATACCTGTTTATACAGGCATAGACATGTTTATAAACTATGTGTATTGCTCTACCAGAATATTTATATGTTATAAAACATAGAAAAAGTTAAAAGGAGGATGAGAGAGGAATAGTCAAAGATGCTCTGATGTTTTCTCCCACGCTCCCTGAAGTGGGGTCACCCCATTTGGCGGCTGCTGGGCTGGAAGATCATGTGCAGGTGTTCGCAGTTTACCTGGAACTAGGGGTTTGCGCAGGAAACACATCTAACCCCCTCCTTGTGAAGCGCTCAGTGCAGGGGGCGGCTTCCTCCCTGAGAAGGTGGCCCTGCTGGGCTCCTGCCCACCTGGCCTGCAGGCCTTGCAGGTCCTGGCCCGCTGCACCTCAGCGGGTCTGCGCGCTCTCGGTGCGCCGCGCCTCTGCCCCAGAGCGGGCCTCCGCTGCGGCTGAGCCGCCAGCGCTGCCGCTGCTCGAGATGTGCTGTTGTGAACCCCGCTGCTCACCGGCGTCCCCCAGGCAGGCTCTGTGTGTCTCCGCCTGAATTCCTCCCCGTTTTCCGTCAGTGACACGGTCATCGCCCAGAATTGAGAGTCCGAAGAAACCTATGGGTCCTTTCACCCTCTTCTACATGTGGTCGCCACTGACTTAAAGAAAACACTTCCCCCTCACCTTTGCTCTGACAGCCCCACTTGTCTTTTTTCTGGCACCGTTGGAACAGCCTCTTCACTGGCCTGATGGTAGCCCTTCCCAGTCTAGCCACCACACTGCAGCCAGACTGATCTTAAAGGCAAACCTAGCGACATTTCCGGGCTAGAAACGCCTGTGTCTTTCCATCCGTTGCCATATGGAGTCCAGGCTCCTGGTGCCAGTGGCCGTGCCTTGCCATCGGCCCCTGGTTGGCTCTCCATCCTTAGCCCTCATGCTTTCTACTCCAGCCTCTGATAAGACTTACTTGCTTTGTTTTCTTCCCAGTGTACTCTCTTTACAGTTCCAAAAAATTTCATACTCTTGTGTAGTCATATAGCTTAAAGAGTATCCTAGTTCGACAAGGTTGGTTAAGAGGAATAGCAGCTTCCTGCCTCCGTGGCTCCATCGCTCCGTCCCCGTTGCCAGCCACGCTCAGCTGCCACTGCTCCTAGTGGTGCCCTCTGTCTCGGTGCGGGGGGTGTGGGGGGTGCGGGGGGAGTTGCTCTTCCACTGCCAGGCTGTAGGCTCTGCCTCCCTGCGCGGGGTGAGACAGATGCAGCGCTCTGCCCCCAGCTGCTGCCTTCTCCCCATTACGGTTACTGTCCTTTGGTGAGGTGGCTACTCCTTAGGGTGGTAGCTTCTTAGAAACATTATGGAACATGATATATGTATCCCTTTATGTTTCATTTACAGTAGTAAATCCTGGGGTTATGGTTATTTTTTAAAGGAACATGGATCAAAGCTTTTTTAAACTTGTCCGTTAATAAGGGAACCAGTAAGATGTTGTAATGACTTTAAAGGAGAATTTAGACAAAATACATGCACATATTCAGGGGTGCTCAAGTGAATTTACAAATAGGCATAAAAGTGGTTTATATCCACAGGACAATAAATCTGTTGCATTCCTCCAGATGAAATTAACTTTCATTTCTTTGGATAAGAAATCATTTGCCTTCCTTTTAAGATTTCTGCAACTTTGTTGTAAAGCAGCTCAAAGACTAAGGTGCAGGGCCCTGTGAAATTAGATAACCCGAAGGATGCACTGGAGAGCACATCTGGTAATCTCACCTTTGGTCCATTTCAAAACCTTTCACAGTAATTCCTGACATCATCCCCATTTGGAGCACAGTAACGTCAAAGAAAGGTTATTCTTGGTCACAGGAAAAGGCTGGTCTCTTTAGGGTTAACGAGTGCAGCAAGAGTGTTAACTGATGGGCCTCCTTGCATTTTCTCTTGAACAGCCGCTGAGGTCACAAATCAACTTCTCTCCAGAAGTTTTCATGTGAAATCTCAGGTTGGGCGTATAAAAGCTTCTATTATTCGCTGGTCTGAGAGTGGGGGACAGTGCCCTCCACTTCACCGTATTTGTACTTGCAGTGCCTATAAATTCAGTTGAAATCTTCTCTTATCAAGGCTCCAAAATTTGCTGAGGTTCCTGACCTGCCAGCAAGTGAGCTCCTGACCGCCTAGGGCTGGATCTTGTATGCCAGGGCCCCCCAGGCTGGCCTTCCTGGGGGGGCTTTGTGAATCCTGGATTCATGAGTAAAGTCGGCCTCGATTCCTAATGCGTGGCTGGTCGTTGAGAGTCATTCTCAAGTAGGACACTGCAGGTAAGGCCTTGTTTGCGTAACTGCAACATCCAATTATATACTGGTTAAAGGGAGGACAGATTTTTATTGAACCTATGCAAATAACTGCATTGCTGTGAAAAATACAAACCTAAGAATATGTTTCTTATTTTTAAGTAATTTTAGGAAACTACATTAGTAAAGTACCATTCTTTTTGTTGTCATCTTTAATTGGCAGGTTGTCATCCTCTTTTCTCTCAAAAGTAGGGCTCTGTATGAGAGGCTGAGAGATACGTCTTCATGTTCGTTATCAAATAGCTCTGTGTGACTCTCCTAGACACCTCTTTACTGTAACACTTTAATTTGATTATCTTTTTCTTTTTGAGTGAAATATTTTATGGGAAAGAATAACTTGGTTATCTTTTCCAGGTCCATATTGAGATCCACTGAAGATTGTCCACCGACTAGCACAGGTGTGTCTGCGGGCTCACTGCGTCGGAGAACACAGCATGAGGGATGGGAGAGGGACTCTGGGCTCCTGCCTCTCGGGAGCGCGGGGCGAGGACTTGGACAAGCTACGGTGCGGCCTTTGGACACAGGAGAGCCCTCGCCCGTCCGGTGCACCTTCCTGGGCGAGGAAGCCTGCAGCTGATCTGCATGGAAACCCACACAATGAGACGCCATCAGTGGCAACGAAAGGCGATCTGAGTAAGGCCAGCCTCTTGCGTCACAACGGCATCAAAGTGCTTCTGTATTTGAAAGGATCAGTAAGAAGGAATTGCGCTTCCACAGTGGCTCAGAGCAAGACCGTGGATCTGTTCTCCGCTCCTGCAGAAGAGTGTGTTGGCAGGGGGTCCTGTGGCGTCGAGGAGGCCCTGGTGAGGGACTGGCTGGGAGGAGGGCCCAGGGCCACTGGCGGCCACAGGGGACGGTGCCGGGGAGGAGGGCCTGCGGGGTCGGGGCTGCCATGCCATCAGAAGCGGTCGGAAACGGAGATTTCTGAGGGTGAACCACGCGCTTTTCTTGAGATGAGAGGCTTGGAGCCAGACCTGTGTCTCCCGCATCCTGTGTCGTCGCCCCCGCTGCATGCGCATCCCCACGTTTCCTCGAACGACGCTGAGACAGAGTGTGCGTCCCCTGGCCGCTCAGAGCCCGCGCTTTCAGGGCGAACAGGAGAACACGGGAAGATGCTCCCTAGCATGAGAAGTACCTCAAATGATCTGCAGACAGCACTGGGGCTTCTGGCTGTGCGAGCTTTTCAAGTAGCAAAGCCATTACGCCACAATTAAGGTACAAGCTGAACAATAAAGGTTGATTGATTGATTGATTTTAAAAGTTGTCTTAAGGTAGTTTTTCCATTAAGTCTGATGCAGACAGTGCAGCAGTGACGTTCCTGCTCTGGCTTGTGAGTCCAGGCAGACTTCAAGGGAGTCGAATTTAACCTCATGGAGAGCTGGCCAATGTGGAAGGAAGTTTTTGAGGAATGTCTTTTGAAAGACATTCAGGATTGGGAGACCATTTCCAGGAGAATATGAATATATCCTACATAAATATGAGATTAGACCATAAAGAGTTAACATAAAGCCCCTCATAGACCTTCAGCACACATTCTGAAGGGCGGCCATGCTGGGTGCTGTCTCTCCAGGTTGTCTGATCATCTGATGAAAGTGGGTGTTTGCAAGTGCCAGCCCCTCTATACTTGCTCTAAGCCTTGCTGAGTTGATGACGAGCTGTTACCATTTCTGCATTTTGTGGAATAATTTTGGTCTGCATCAAAATTTGATTTCTCACCTTCCTTCCTTACCACTTGAAATGCAATTTTAATGGAGGCCCTACGGTGAAAGTTGCAATATTGAACTTACCTTTAAAATAAACCCTGCTCAAACGGTGTTGCCTGAAACAGAAGTGAGCGCGAGACTCCCATTTCTAGGAATTGAGGTATCTCTTACACTAAGGTTTTTCTGAGATAACTCCTTTTTTGTTGTTTGTCGGTAACTTTGATAAAGGTCACTTAAGAGTGTAAGTTTTTAAGGAGTCCCAAAGTAAGACAACCCTTTTCAGGATTATGGCTGCATATATTGGTTTATGTTGTGTGCTAGAGTACGATGCCATGCACTATTTTAGTGTTTTGGGAAAATGAAAAATAAAGCCTGTCATTTAGCATAATAAATGTCTTATTTTATGTGTACAGTCTTCGTTCACCTTGTCTTTTCATTTATGCTGCTTTCCTAATACTTACGCCTGGGAGTAGTTGCTGAGTAGGAGACTAGAAGCAGAGCTTGAAAAACAGCGTAAAGCCAGGTCGGAACTCGGCTCTCGCCTTCTCCTGGGCTGTAATGAGGCCGTGTCTTGTGTGGCCCCTCAGGGTGCCGCTCGTGGAGCCCCAAAGCGAGAGTCCTTGTGAAGAAGCGATTGTCATCCTGTCGAGAAGGACACCGTCATGATTGAGCAACTGAAGTCCTGGCCCGGGGACACTCCGTTTGGGGTAACTGATGGATTGTGAAACCAGATGAGGACACACTTCAGTGTTTTAAAGTGGGAACCGTTTTCTTACCAAGTCTTTCTCCCCGCCTCCTCCTCTTTTGGTTTTAAACTAAGTCTGCTCCTTTGGGAAAGAACTTTCCATGACTCCCAAACTATTTTATTGCCATTGTTTTATAAATTGTAAGTATGTAAATTTTCAACCAATTGTAAAGAAAAAACAGGAATTTCCTATTTGGCCTCAAATGCTAAATTAATAAATCTGAAATGTTTTTTTGTGTGGTTATGTTAGAATAAGGTGTTTCCTAAAAGCAGTTTTGGGGAAACATTCACAATAACTTTTTCTTCACATTAATTCCTTAGTACACCTATATTTTGCTGAAATTCTTCCCTTTGGTCTTGTGTCCAGTTACTGTCTGTAGGTGGCAAGTTCTGGGGTGGATGGGGGGGGTGATAAATGTGTGAAGTTTCATGACTTTGCAAAATAAGGCCTTTGATAAACATTTTTATTTTTGAGGCAATTAGTACAGAAATAAGATATTTTGGATAAATTAAGTTTCATGGTCGAATTATAAAAAGAATCACTCATTTGAAGTATTTTAGTTTAATTCTGGCAATGAATATAATGGGAAGCTTGTTTTAAAAGTTCTTAAGTTACATGCATTTCCTTTTTTGCCTTTATATGCTATTCCTGCTCTTAAGGATTGAATAGCACAATCATTTTAGAAACAAAATCTTGGACTTAGTTATTTACATTTGGAAATCATAATTTCTTTTTTTAAGAGAATTACTGTTGAGGTCTTGAAGCAATTACGAGATTGCAGGCTTACACAATAAAAAATTAAACTCTTGTACTTAAATAGCTCATTCTTAGATGACTATTGATTTTATAAATAGGAAGCAGGACATGTATTTTGGAGCTTGGTGTAAATCCCAGTATGTCCTAAAATTCACATGGACCACCCACTGTACAGTTGATCCTAGAACAAGGGGCTTAGGCGTGCTGGCTCCGGCACTGTCAGACGTCTGTGTATAGCTTGATTCTCCCAAAACATGACTGCAGTTGTTCCTCCATATCCGCGGGGACCAGTTTTAGGACCCCCTTCTCTGCAGGTACCCAAATCTGAGAATGCTCGTCTCTCGTATAAAATAGCACAGCACAATGCACCAGTCATACCTCTGCATCCACGGAGCCCCGACTTTGGGTCCAAAAGAGTGTCTTCTATCTGCAGTTGGTTGAATCTGTGAACAGGAAACTCAGGGATACAGAATGCTATTTCTTGAAGGAAAAAAATCCATGCAGTTCAGACAAGTGTTGGAAAAGACATAGAAAAGTCTTTTCAATCTATTTGTTCCATGATGTCTTTGTTAGAAAACTCAAGATGCTGACGAGGCCCACGTTTGAAATGGGAAATCTCACGGAGCTTCATGGTCAAGGTTCAGGAAGAGCTACGGGGGATGAGACTTGAGCGTTGAATGAGCTGATGGATATGAGCACCCAGCCCAAGAAAATTCAGACTTTTAATGGTGACACATAAAAAAACACATTTGTGAGGGGAAGAAGTTTGGGTCGAGTCCAGGAGGGCGTGTGGCAGCCCTGCTGGACCAGAGGTGCTGTCGTCTTATGCGGAGGCCTGGTCTGAGGGGTCTGAGTGCTGTGCTTGCTTCTAGAAAACCAATCACTTACCCAGGGGAGCGGAAGCGGGCGTTGCTGCACTTGTGCTCTGGCTGTATTTTGAGTAGCTCTTTACAGTTCGCTTTTAACCTCCTCTGGGTGTGTGACAGGAGCAGGAACTCTGGCGGGCGCCGCCCTCACTGCGGTGTATGTAGAGGAGTTCTACCACACGGTTTGATGCTTTTCGCCTTTTTTTAAGGCAGTGGACTTAACCCTTCTCTCGGCCGACCAAGAGCTCTGTTTCTGCTGTCTGAGAATGAAGGGCGGTTTGGAGATTGGGAAACGGGCTCTGCCTTTGAACCCTGAAGCTTGTCTTCTGTTACACAGGACTTGGGTTCGGGAGCGTTCTGCACTGTGGCTTATTTACGGTGACTTGGCAAAAGCAGCCTGTCTCTGTGTTCCTCTGACTTAAGTGGCTGTATCAGTCAGGATTCTCCAGAGAAACAACCAATTGGATACAGATGGATGGATAGAGAGATTATAGATACAGGTACAGATATGAGATGTGTTACAGGAGTTGGCTCACACAATTACTGAGACCAAGAAGTCCCACATTTGGCCTTCAGCAAGCCGGAGACCCAGGGGAGTTAGGGAATGCCGTTCATTCTGCGAACCAGGAGTGCCGATGTCCGAGGGCAGAAGATGGATGTCCCAGTTGAAGCAAAGAATGAGCAAATTCTCCCTCCCTGTGCCTTTCTGTTCCCTCAGACCCTCAAGAGGCTGGACAGTGCTCACCTGCTTTGCTGAGGGCGGCCATCTTTGCTCCATCTGCTGATTCAAGTGCTAACCTCTTCGGGAAGCACAGACGCAACCAAAAATAGTGTTGTACCAGGTATCTGGGCGCCCCTTAGCCCGGTCAGGTTGATGTAAAAGGAACCATCCCAGTTGCATAGCTGCCTCTTCGCTGAGTCCTCGGATGCCTTGAAGAGTCTCGTTCTTTGCCAGACATCCAAAGGGGCAGAACATCGAGGACGTAGCACTGTTTCTTGTCCCTACCACTCTCCCCAAGACTTGATAGTGACCCCACCTGTTCAGAAAAGCCTATTGCGTGAGAGTAGTGTGAGAAAAGAGGGGAGCTGGTTAATTTTTAACGCAGGTGCTTTGATCTATAGGTGGGGAGTCCACACACACACACACACACACACACACACGTCTGAATTCACTTAGAAACTGCGAGTGCAGCGAGGGGAACATGCTCATTTTCCACCTCCTGCCTTCGGCAGAGCGGGCTTCTGCTCCCTGCACCCGGGGGCAGCAGGCAGGGCTCGTCACGTTGACGTTCACATCTCTGACTCCCCTGTGGAAGAGCAAGGCTTGACGGTGCGTGGCTTTAAAAACATTGAGACATTTGGAGCTTCTGTTAGAATCAGCTTCTCCTTCCTACCCCTGTATTAGGCGTTCTCTAATGAGAGTATCGGCCAGACTCCTCCCTTCGGTTCCATGTAAATACTGGGTACAGGGGGTCCCTGACTCAGGGCGCTTCGTGTGCCATCTTTTGACTTTGTGATTGTGCGACAGAGATTCGCGTTCAGTGGAAACTGTACTGTGAATTTTGGATTTTGGTCTGTTCCTGGGTGAGCGCTATTCCCAACACTCCCTCCTGGTGCTGGACAGCTACTCTCTGGTGTTGGACAGCGGCCGGGAGCGCGGCCCGGGGCCAGCATTGCCCATCCTGAGTAAACGGCACTCTGCAGCGTAGTATTGAATGGACTTCCAACTACCAATATTTGTAACTTGTAACGGGTGTGTTGGGAGGTAGCCCCCTTGTACCCCAGGGGCATCTGTGTTTGGGCCAAATCCCTCCTGTGCTCCTTATCCCTGCCTTTGTCATGCTGTCTAGGAAGGGTCCTGGGAGAGCAGGGTCAGCCGCTTTGTTAATATTTGCATCATTTAATATGGTGAATATGATACCAAAAGATGCTTTTATTTTTCCGTGGGCTCCCTGTAGGGAGCAGTGAGTTTGTCTTTGGGCTACGAATCTGGTAAAATCCTCGGACTCAGCTTTCAGACCTGACCTTGATGATGTGTGGAGTTTGCCTTCTCTACTCAGATGCGTAACAGGTGGCGCCTTTGGTTTTAGTTTGTTGGGAGGACGGGGGCATCTGGAGAAGCGCATGAAGATGCCTCGTTGGTTCTGGATGAGAATTGTCCCGGCCCGGAGGCCCGCCCAGGTGACCGAAAGGCTGGCGCTCACAGAAGGGGCGGAGGCCCCTTCCTCCGTGCCGGTAGCGCGCTGCCTCCTTTCTAGACCCAGGACTGTGACGTGGCCATTGGCTTGACCGAAGAAACCCGGTTTTTCTTTTAAAATTGGTTCATCAGTACAAGGCTTTTATGAAGATCATGCTTAGTTTCAAAGCTATGGGAGACGTGTGTTGTTTTACGTTGGCAGATGAGGTGAAATGTAGTGTGAGAAGATGAAGTTTACTAAACGGCCTTTATTAATCTGGGCAAATTTTTAAATTGTATGGGTAAATTTCAGGGGAGCTTCCTTGCCTCCTCCTGAAGTGGGGGGCTGAATGAAGCCCCAGGGGATAGGATGCTACTGCCCGGAGGGTATTTGGTAACATTAGTAATTCAGGGTTATTTTATTTTTTTATTATTTTTTAAATTCTTACCCGAGGATATGTTTATCGATTTTAGAGAGGAAGGTGGAGAGAGAAACATCAATCCATTGCCTCCCATATGCTCCCTGACTGGGAATTGAGCCCGCGACCTTTCCGTGTACAGGATGCGGCTCCAACCAACTGAGCACCCCCGCCGGGGCCAGCAGGATTTGAACGTAGTGCTTGAATTGGGGAATGGGCGAGGCCTGAAGCCAGGCCCTAGAGGCCTGTGCATGTGAGGTTTGCTTTTGCCACGAGGGGGAGCCACGTGTTCACTTCGGGAGTGTCTTGCTTCAGGGAAGGCCTTGTTTTTTCTAGTTATTTTGTTTATCCAAGTTCTTAATCTTCTTTTAAAAAATGTATTGTTCAGTTACAGTTGCCCTGCCTTTTCCCCCATTGCTCTCCCTTCCC